AATTAATTATCTTATTTAGAGTTTAATGCAAAATAATTATGAAAACTAATACATTCTTACATATTTATACAACACAAAAAATAAATATATTCTCAAGAAAATTAATACAAACATTCATACATAAATCATTCATATTTTAATACAAAACTCATTAAAAATTCACAGCTTAATACAATCATTTCACAGCTTAATACAATCATTTCTCAGCTTAATACAGTCAATTTACAGTTCAGTACACAAAATTCACAACTAAATATAAAAAATTCACAGTTTTATGCATAAAAATTATACAGTCACACCTATATTCTCAATTTAAAACTTACATATATACCTTCACATATATACATTAGTGCTTCTTTCACGGTTTAATTAAACAAATATTCACAATTTAAATTTTGCTTACTTTATTTATAATTAGATTAAATTTTACATACTTTAGCAAACAAAGAATTAATAAAAAAATTTTACAGTTTAATACAGTCAATTCATAATTTAGTACAGTCAATTCACCACTTAATACAGTCACATCATAATTTAATACAAAAAATTCACAACTTAATATAATAAATTCAAAGTTTAATACACAAAAATTATACATTCACAATCATATTTTCAACTTAAAACCTACACTTCTAGACTTTAATTCACAATTTAATAAAATAGTTTAGGTCTCTCGTTCATAGTATTTACAGCTTAGAAATATAATTGATTTTGTTGAAGCATTTCATCAAATACTTTATGTGCACCACACAAATTCACATTTTAATATATTATTTCAAGACTCTCATTCACAGTTTAATAAACAGTTTAGGGCTCTCATTCATAGTATTCGCAACTTAAAAACATATTAGTTCACTCATTCATTGTTAAAACTAACTTTAACACACATTCTAAACTCAATTCACAAGATAAAAACATAAAACATAAACTATGAATAACAATTTTGTACAAATAGTAGCAAATAAGAAAACAAACGTGGATTCACAACTTAATAACAGTTGATACACAACTTAGTATTTTAAGCAAATATTATATAAAAAAAATAGGAAAACAAACTTAGATTCACAACGTAATAGCAGATAAAACTAAGATTCACAAAAGCAAACAACAAATTAGAGATTTAAATATTTAAATTCACACTTTAACAAAAGAAAAAAACGATCAAAATAAAACTATTTTTTTTATCACGTGGTGGATCAAAGGCGGAACAAGACTTTTAGAATAATAGAGCTTATATTATATATATTCTTGAAAAATCAAACTCAAAATATGTATAATTAATAGTTCAAAATTTTAACATTAAAAATAGTTAAATTCTTTAACGAAACAAACAATAAATTAATAAGTCAAAAGGTCAAACCCCACTAAATAAGAACCATGACAAAATAAATAAATAAATAATTCAAGTGATGTATTTCTGGAAACCATATAGACCATTTATAAAGAATACTCTTCTTTTTAATTAATAAATAATAATAATAAAATAATAATATAAAAGCAGAAAAAGAAATAAAAATGGGAATTATAGTCTTTTCAAATCTACGACGGTCGAAAAACGCAACAAAATCATATCACATTGATTGTCCGCGTACAAAAAAAAAGAAAAAAAAGGAACCAAACGTGCAATTTTGTTAAACGATAGAGACGATTTCAATAATTTAATGAAATAAGTAAGATGAGAAAAAACAATGGCCTTACCGAAAAAACATTTAAAACAATTTGAACTTGTTGGGACGGCCCGGCCTAGAAGCAATGGGTCATGGGCAAAAGTTATAAATATACAAGCGACCTACACCACGAGCAGGTTTTTGGCAACGTTCTCGTCCTGAAGCAATTAGTTTTTAAAACCACGCATCAAACTCAAAGAGTTAGGTAGTCAAATATATAATAATTTCACTGATTTAAGATCTTGTGGTTCTTTATTTGTAATTGTAAATAATACAAGTGATTTGGATTGATGAGCATTGTTGACTTGTGGATAGAAACTACTAAAATTGAAAACAGGAAAGTCGTAAGTTAGATGATTGTGGTGGGGTATTTTAAGAAACATTCCTTTTATGAAGTTTTTGTGTTTGTTTAGAATTCGTTTTTCATTAGTATAAATAAGGTTTATCTTTGGGTTAGTTTTAAATTAAGTTTTCCACCAATAAATGTTTTGTTTACCAAGTAATCTCAAAGTTTCTCTCGTTCTTTTATTCTCCTGTTCTCCCTTGTATCTTTTCTTGTTCACTGATTTCTTCCTTAGGAACCAAGCTATCATCAGTTTGATATCTAACACTAGATTTTGATTAGGTTTCTATTCCAATTAGTATATATTATTCCAATTAGTATATATAGATGTAATAATTTGCCTTTTTAATTAAGCAAGAACCCACGTTGTGGTGAAACCTTTGGCATCAAAAGTAACTAAGTTATTTTTCCTCTATTTTCCTTCAGCTCCTGTTTCGTTGTTTTTTCCTTTGTTCTGCGGCATTTCTTGCAACATAAGAATATTCACCTGGTTTGCTATCAGCATGGTATTTGTTTAAATAGTGGATTTCTTAGTTATAGTTTGTTCCCTTATAACTTGTCATCTTATTATAACTTTTTTTTTTGGTATTCAATAGGAAAAAACTCAATGATAATGGCGTTATCCGACCATGAGGGTATGGTGGAGGAGGAGGGGTTGCATCCAGAGATATTGGCATCGATTTTCATAAGGATACCAGTGAAACAAATGGTGCGATATGTTCCGCTTGTGTGTAAGTCGTGGATGGAGGTGGTGGCAGGCCATACTGTTGGTGTGATATCGATATTCAAGTGTGGACCCGCTGTTGAAAATCAAAACCAATAGACATGTAAGGAAACCGACAAATAATATTGAGAATTATATGTTGATTAGTTGCGAATAATAGATCCAATTATTATTAATATGATTACCAAGTTTCATCCAGAAACCAGATTAATCCTTCTCGATTAGATCTGATTATAAGAGAGAGGTAGAAGGAGAGTGTCCTGTTATTGGACGAAATTAAAAACAAGATAATAATGTAAAACCAACATGTTGACAGCTGATCTTGGATCTTGATTGTGGAATAACTGCACGGATCGAACTTCTGTCCTTAAAGGTTTTTACTTCGCTTCTATCGGTTGTAAGCAACATAATAAAACCCCAAGATTTAATGCAGATTTACCGAGTTTCCAACAGCAATGAAAAACGATAAACGCAAAGCGAATACTAAGAAACCGAGAAGAAATTGCAGAGAGAATGAGAGAGCTTTCAATTTTCGTGAGTATCAAATACGACTCCTAGGGAGCTGTATTTATAGGCATTAAAACCCTAGAAGGCAGAAAAGGGGCCCACATGAGCCGGCCCATGGAAACCCTAGGGCGACGACTTACTCTCCAAGCTAGCCGTTTTCTAACACTTCCAGAATATTTTGTTGCCATATCTACGAAGTCAACCATTTGATCAGATCGGTCAAACTGACTTAACCCGAAATTCGCCAAAATAAAAGCTCCTCAGCTTCCAGCGACCGATGAAACCCTTCCAGAATATTCTGTTGTCATATCTACGAAGTCAACCATTTTCTGTTGCCATATCTACAAAGTCAACCATTTGATCAGATCGGTCAAATCAACTTGACCTGAAATTCATCAAAATAATAGCTCCAGAATATTTTGTTGCCATATCTACGAAGTCAACCATTTGATCAGATCGGTTAAACCGATTTAACCCGAAATTCGCCAAAATAAAAGCTCCTCAGCTTCCAGCGACCGATAAAACCCTTCCAGAATATTCTGTTGTCATATCTACGAAGTCAACCATTTTCTGTTGTCATATCTACGAAGTCAACCATTTGATCAGATCGGTCAAATCGACTTGACCCAAAATTCGCCAAAATAAAAGCTCTTTAGCTCCCAGCAACCAATGCGTCGTGAGCCTAAATCGCGCACTCGCGGCGTCAGCTAGTGCTAGGCTAGGTGCGCGTGTGTGGGCTTGACCCATTCCTTTGATCAATAAAGCCTTTGAAGGTCTATCAAGGGAAAAGACTTATAAACCTATACAAGGTTTCTTCCCCCACCAGTATGGGATAGAGGAAACTTGCCAACTTGCAAGATTACCTCTATAATTTCCAACACCCGCTTGCATCCCCATCAACGTGTGGTGAACCGCGTGGTGAAGAAGCTAATCATACACAACAATTCTACGGTTCAACGTCTCTCTACCTACAACATCGGAGAATCCGGATTCGTGTTTGTCACCAACAGGTAAGTCAAAGCAACACTAGTTTTTTTTTTTTTTTTTTTTTTTTTTTTGTGGTGGAAGATCTATGAAAGTGCTTGAAATCCGATTGAGTAATATCAATGACAATATGGTACTCAAGCATCTAAAGGAGTTGCCAAATCTTAGAGTCTTGGATATCAACAATTGCTACAACATACAAGATGAGTGCCAAAGGCCTTGCAGCATTCGGTACACATTGCAAGTCTTTGGTTCACTTGAAAAGAAACATTCCCCCTCCAGACATATATTTTCCCCATCCCGATGATGATTCTGAAGCAAAAACCATAGCAGACACCATGCCCAACCTCCAACATATTCAACTTTGTTTTGGTCGATTTGGTGATTCTGGTCTTTTTGACATCTTCACCAAATGTAAGTCCCTTATGCATCTCGACATTCGTGGGAGTTGGAATGTCAAGCTGAATGGTGCTGATCTCAACAAGATGTGTCAAAAGCTCGAGTGATTTCTTCAGCCAATATTGGATGATGAGTAGGCGTGGCACTAATCTTTTCAAAAGCTGAATCCTAATTTTATGTTTTGTTTTTGATGATGGAATGAATGGATCTTGTAATAGCAGTTAATACTATTAGTATGTTATGAGTTATGACATTTATCATGTTACTATGTTATGACATTTAGCTCTCTGGTGAAGAGTATATTATCATATCAACTTATCAATTATGAATTATCATCGTAATTCTGATTTTTGATTGTCAACTTGTTTGTATTATTCTGTCAACTGTTAATTAAGAGTGTTAGTATGTTATGAACATAAATATGTGAATCTATCAACTTAGAATATTACATATTATGTTTTTATATTATATGTGATACATGTATGTATGTTGTTAGCCTTTCCAACACCCAAATTTGAAACGACGTAGTTTCATTTTTCCATCTAATGCCAAAGCCAACACGTCATACTCTTCCACATACCATAGCTCCGAGATTGTAGCCTAAAATAATCACCAGTCAAATCACAAATCACAAATCACACACATACTTATCATTCATTATAAGAAACTATTAAAAAAAAAAAAATGCTACCTCAGTTCCACGGATGGCTTTGTTCAAATGAACTACTAGTTCATGAAAGTATTGTAGTTCTAAAGCACTGTCTGGTTCCTATATTGTAAGAATGACAAGTCAAAAGGTCAAACTCCAATAAATAAGGGTCGTCTCATCCATCACAAATAAAATAAAATAAAATAAGAAAAAAACCAACCTGGGATGAATTATAAGGGTGACCAATAATTCTTGCAAGTGATGTATGAAGTATGGCAGGAGCATACTACATCATACAAATCAATAACAGTTAAATTCCCCCTTAGATTTGAAGGGTAAAGTAAGTAATTTGGTAAGGTTCTTACAAGTTGCTTTACTGGAGCATTTGGAAGAGCATTTCTCAATTCAGAACGGATAGTAACAGGATCTAACCCCGAGATCACCTAAATAAGAAAAAAAACTCAATCAAATCTTTAAAAAAAATTATATAATGAAAACACCCTTAGGGTGGGTTTCAAAAAGAAAAAGGGAAAATTAGAGGAAGAAGCACCTGCCAGCATCCCAAAAGCACACCTGTTGAAGTCAAAACAACCCTATCCAACACAATTCTCATTGGACATAGCTTCTCTGCAACTCCTTTTACAGCATTTGCTTCAGCCTCAATCTGCCAATTTTATGTTTAGTATTGTATTGGGAAGGGCATTAACGTCTTTTGCACAAACGAGTCCCTGATGCACTTTTTTTCGTCTTTTTGTCCAACTGACATCAATTTCAGTCCAATGCACACCAAATATAGTACAAGGCCGTCCTGTACTGTATTGTACTGTCATGTCTTGTCCAGTTCAGTCCAGTATAAAGACAACTATAGAAAGATGCTTACTTCCTCTTCGGAGGCAGAAACCGGTGAAATGTGGTGTGATGCATGGAACATACTAAAATGGTAGAGCTCGGGATTCTGAAACCAAATTACTAACCCAAAAATGATTAAGCATTACAAGACAGACAAATTAAAAACAATGGAACTTGTTTTCATATTGAAGCAGACCCAAAGGCCAAAACAGGTGTTTTATAAGGATTTTAAAGTTTAAACAACAATCATTAATTCAACTGATAAATTTACGCATCTGCCCTTACCTTTATCGAGGGTTGGAGAAAATATGTCCCTTACTGCTTTCCTGCAGTAAGAAACAACATAGATACATAACTGAAAAGATCATTGGTCAATTTAGGTCATACAGACTTATAAAAGGTTATGAATGATTGCAGTTTTCTTACGAGATAGGAACTGAATATTCAGGACTCATGTATAAGACATTAGCTCGAACAGGAGGATTAGCAGCCTGTAAAGGTAAGAATATTAGCCATCAATGATAGTGTTAAAAACTGAAAATATGATATTGCTAAATTATCATACTCACATGATTACCTTCAAAACAGGAATTACAGATCCATTCTTATAATCAAAGAGATCAGAAAGTAACAATGATTGTGAAGTCTCTCCCTGTTTAAGAAAAAGTGCACCATGTTCATCCAAATCCCTGGACATTTTGTCATACATTCTATTCCTCTCTGCATTTGAAACTTGAAGCTCTGCTACACATTTATTTGAACCTTTTGTCACTAGTCAGTGTGTATACAAAAAGCTAAACTTGGGCTTCTTATCTACTTATGCAATTTCATATTAGGAACATTGACATTCAGGACCTCATAACTTCAATATTTCTTCAAAAGTTCAAATAACCAAACAAAGGATTCCATCTTGCAAATTTTTTTCTTATATAAAAAATCGTACACTTGATTTTCATGCTAATCTATTCCATTGGAGTAATGTACAGTAAAAAAGTTCCATAACTTAAAAATTGCAACTTGTAACTTCTTTCAGCTAAGCTCCATCATAATTATATATGCAAGAATTACACTACAGAATTCCTACTGGATCGTTTTAGGAAAACAAATCTTCTAGCAAATCTACATTCAGACAAGTATTATCTAAATCAATTACGGTAAGAATTACACTACGGAATTCCTACTGGATCGTATCAGTTTGGGTTAAGAAATGAAATGAACAGAATTAAAAGGAGAAAGCGATGCATTGATTACCTCTTGAGCGAGGAGAAACTTTAGAAGCCATACGGAAGACAGCATAGAAGGTGATTAAGGAGATGAACCAAATCAAAGTAGCTGGTTTTGATTGATTGTACCAGTTCCTAACCCTAGCCATTCACTAATTTAAAAATCGTGTTAAGAACTGAGATCAATCGTATCATCACTATCAGGATTTCGATTGAATTTGGTAGCTATCATCATGTAATATACTCTCATAAAAATCATGAAAGTGAAATCACGGCCATTTCACTTCTAGTGGTTTCTTTGATTATTTATAAATTTAAAAATAAAAAAATACACTCTAATAAATAAATATTTTTTTTTCACCCCTATGATATTTTAATTAATTTTTTATAATTCCTTTTTATTTTATTAAATTTCACATCGTATTTAATCGTATTTAAATGTAAAAGTTATAACAAATACAAAACAATTTAATTAATGCAATTTTCCTTTTAATATTAAAATTCTGAAATTAAAATTCAACTATTTCATTTGTTTATTTAAATTTAAAAGACAATTCAAATTCAATAATTCAATATTTTTTTAGTTTCATTATAAATCCAAACTTCATAAATCTTTAAACCTTCGTGTGTGTGTGTATATATATATATATATATATATATATATATATATATATATATATATATATATATATAAACTCATGTAGTATACGGATTTACAACTAGTAAATAAAAAAAACAGATGATCAATAAACACAATACATTTAAAATATTTGAAATAGATTTTAAAATTAAGTTTTGATCATAGAAAAAAAATACATTTTATGGAATAATTCATCGATTTAATATTTTAGATAAACTACATGTTTTTTTAATTGTCTTTAGTACGACTAACCTTTTTAATCAATAATATTTTATTTTTCTTTTTAATTATAGTTAATTTTTAAATAGTTTTTATTTATTAACTAGTTAATATCTTTAATAAATACTAAATAATATTTATTTAAATGTTTGATATTAAATATTAAATATTTAATTATAATATAATATTTTTATATTTTTTATAATTATATATGTAAGAATTTATCATTTTTTGTCTTTCAAGAAAAAACCCCCGAAAATATTATGTCTTTAATTTAACATGTAATATTTTATTTTAAATAATTAACGTTTATTTGATGAGTTTTATATACATTTCATGTAAATAACGACGGATTAGTTAATAACATAAAAAAGACTTATTAAAAGATTAAAAGATCAATAATCGAAGAAAGTTTAAGTTAATACGTATGAGATAGATCAATGACTGTGGATGGTTTAGGATGAGAATCTAATATTATTAGCTACAAGTCTACAACAATTGTTTAAATAAAATTTAGTCTTTTTATTATTTATAATTCATATATTTTTTAATGATAGGAGTATTAAGTGTTAACGATACAAAATAGTAGGTGCCTCAAAAACACGGTACACATTAAAAGTGAATAAGTATTTATTATTTTATTTTATAAAAACAACACTATCAAAGATGTTAGAATAGTAACGTAACATAAGAGAGATAGAAACTCATTTTATTTTATAACTTTTGCTCCTGTTAACAATTTATAAATAAGATTTGGTGACCAAATTTTCAAAGATCTCTTAGTTTTTAAGTTTTGTCGTTCCAAATAGGAGATTGCTCCGAAAAAAACCAAATGGCCCATAAAGTCATAATCATAACTATGTCGAAGCACTTACATGATACTATTTTAAGAGTAATCCGAGTTAACCACAAAAGCCTATCTTCAATTGAGTTATGGGAAGGAAATAAGACATTCCATTATTAACCAACTTGAGACAACATTTGTTTGGAAAAAGGACAAGTAGTCATGAGATAAATAAGCTCTCAACTGAGTAGTATAAGCTAGAACAAATGAGACTCTAACACCGAATCCAAATATATCCCTTTGTCAACCAAAATCCTTTGGTCGGTATCCTAGTAAGATGCATCTTCCATGTTATAACATTGAGTTTGATGAGAATAAAGTTGTTCCATCTCGTGGGAGAGTTTCTTGTAACTAAAGTGGCATCATAAAGAAAACCTTTTAGTAAGAACACCAAATCAGAAACCATCGAATTCTAACTCCAACTACACATATCCTTTTGATCAGAGATAACACATTATTGCATCAAAATCAATATAGTGTCTCGTTTCTCTTTATCAACCACCATTTAGGAGAAGATGTAAAAAGGGGTCTAGTGAACACACCAAATTCGATCACCGACCATACACGAATAATTCAAACTAAATTAATGTAACAACCCAAAAATCAAGGGTAAAAATTTCATTTTTAATATAGCTAAAACATTGATACCATTTATTTCAAACATTTCAAATCATCATTAAGTAAAACGTTTATCAGAGTTCATCCCAAAATCATTTGTTGCGGAAATCATAGGTGTGTGCACTGCGATCAATCCGAGCTCTTCATTTCCAAAACGATGATACCTGAAACCAAAACTGTAAACCGTAAGCACAAAGCTTAGTGAGTCCCCCAGAGCATACCCCATCCACATAACACATACCATATTAGCTATAAAAGCTACATATATCACATAAGCCATGCATACATAAAACCTAGGAAAGTCATGGGCTACCCCACATGATCTTACATCCAATGCCATAGGCTACCCCACATGGTCTTTACCTAGGACTGCCATGGGCTACCCCACATGGTCTTACATCCAATGATACGGGCTCCCCCCGGGGTCTTCCATGCAAGTATCACAAAGACAACTAGCATAACACATATCATATAATCACTAGCATACCCCTTAGCATAAGCTAACTATCATACCACATATCTCTACTACAACTAGTGTAACACATAACATAAAATGGGTCGGCCTTGGTGCCTTAGACCCATTGGTATGATGAGAAGACTCACCCCGCACTGCATAATCTTCCCGTATGAACTCTTTAGCTGCTGCCCTGCCAACTTCCCAAGCTGTCACTACCAATCAATACACCCAATTAGCAATTGGGTCTCATACCATAATCCTTAATCCATGCATGGGGTAAAATGACCATTTGACCCCTACCCCCAATACGATCCAAAACTAAGGCCCAAACCCAAAACAAAATCCCATTACTATAATGTCCATAAAACCATCAATGGCCCAATTTTCCAAATTGGGCCCGGATCTTTGTAATGGACCTTATACTAAAGCCCAACACTAGGTAGGCTTTCCAAGCCCACTAGTGGCCCACTAATGGCCCAATTTGCTCAATTGGACCCAATCCCTCTAATGGGCCTTACCCTAAGCCCAAACATATCCTTGGCGCATTAGAGGCCAAAACCACGAAACTTCCGAAGGCCATAACTTCTTCGTTACAAGCCCGATTTCGACGATCCTTATATCCACGGAAAGGTGACGGGAAGCTCTACACATTTATCAACTCATATATTCCTTTAGACCTTCCTAACAAAAATCCATTTTCCACAAAAGCCCGAACTGACACTTTACCGAAATACCCCTAAGCTCCAAAACACAAACCGAACACCCGAATCACTCCTAATACATCACCCGCACCTAAATGGGCCTAGATCTTACCTTCTCTAGAGCCATAATCCATATGATGACCAACCTTCGTCCCACAGCCTCAGACTAGAAGTCAATTCGGAACAGAGCGTTACAATTAAAATATTATCCCGACCAACTAAATTACAACTATTGTCTATTTTAAAATATGGGTTTTAATATATATATATATATATATATATATATATATATAATTGTTGAAAAGGGAATGTCTAAAATTATTAACTATTAGTAATATTTTAATAATAGCAAGATCATTTAGGGTTTACCCCATAATCCATTTGAGCAATAAGGAATTAAGATAAATAAGTTTATTAATTTATTATGAATTAATAATGTAATTGGAAATTATATTGGAATTATCAAATATTTTTAATTAATTAAAGGGTTGAATATTAATTAATTTTTAAATAATTGGAATGTTCTAAATCCCTTACGGAATGATATGGACGATTTAAAAAAGGGATCAGGATAATCCTCAGTGGTGGAACCAAAATTTTTTGTCTGGGGTAGCACAAATTTTTTTGACATTCTATTCGTACAAGTGATCTTATACAAATATGTAATTTTTAGCATATAGGATTGGGTCAATTTACACCTTAGAACCACATACCATCTAGGCTATGGATTTTGAGCAAAATTTTAGAGTTAAGGACATGTGATTTTGTCACTTTATTTTCTACACTTCGGTCATGAATCTGGAAGCAACACTATATTAGAAAGAATATGAAGTTTGAAAAGAAAATGAGTTACAACTGGTTTTGTCAATTTATGTTTTTTACTTTAAACATCACTCCATTGTCAACAACAAAAACCTGTAAGGTTATAACAACATTTACACTTTACAAGTTTTAGGCTAATATAATTTCATCATTATTATACATTTATATGAATATCTGGCTTAATTCTGGTGAAATTTGAAAGCTAAAGCCCACCAGATGACTTGAAAATAAAGAAACAATAACAACAAATTTGACTCCAAATCAAAGTAATTTAATGGAAGATGGCATTGATAACATTAAGCAAATAGACTATGGTCATTAATTTGAACTCAACAATAAAAAACTAAACCCACACAAAGTTTGAAACGAAAGCAATTCAACAATCTTCTCTGTCCTTTATCCCAGAAAAATCTATTTTAATGTGGCACAACAACCCCCCCCCCCCCCTTGTCGTCAATGGGGGATCACATGGAATAAGATTAGTCAATTAGAATCTTAAGTAATGTTCTTTAGTTGTAAGGAAAATATACCAATGATAGTCCTAATTAGATTTTGTATAAATGGGTTATTCAAATCCCAATTCATCAAAGATACATTACAAATGGGTAGGTCAACTTGAAATTGAAAACAAAATTTCTAATTGCAATCCATCAACTAAGATGCGAAACTTGAACTTGAGACAAGTAAATTTAAGGGTAAAGCGATGTTAACCTTGCAATTTTTTTTATGATTTCCTGCGATTTGGATGTAATTGATGGTTAATATCGAAGTTATAGTTTATCACCTTCGCCTGAGCTCTTCCTCTTTCAAAAAATCGCAAACACAGTGAAAGAGAACAAACGAATTGGGTCTAAATTAGATCCAATTTTAAAATGGAATTAGATTTGTTCTATAGTTTGCAATTGTTAAACCCTTGGAGTAGAAACAAAATGTTTATTTTCAGCCATTACCGTCAAAGAAGCCAATGTT